CAAAACAACTTCTGTAAGTCAAATTTGAAAATTCACTATAAATTGCACAAGATGAAATAGAAAGATTGTCTTATATTGTTAGATTATTATTCGAGTATAGTTTCCATTGGTATAAATGAAATATGAAGTTTTAATTGAGGATAGGTCAGAAAATAAGGCAACAGATTCTGCTCAAAACAACTTCTATAAGCCAATTTTGAAAATTCACTATAAATTGTACAAGATGAAATAGAATGAGTGTCTTATATTTTTAGATTCTTATTCGAGTATAGTTTTCATTGGTATAAACGGAATAATTTTTAAGTATGTAGATTAATACATAATAATATTTCTTTTAAGGTAGTACAAACTGACAATATTTGAAATTTGTCATAAATTGTGTTTTCGTGTTACTCTTATGTTATATATAATTATAAATGTTTGAAAGGAGTGAACTTTATTATAGCTGACATAATAATTATGATATTTATTCCATGATGAATATGATGTGTATGTTAAAGAAAGGTAAGTGTAGTTATTTGTTTAATTATTTGATCAAGGAAGACTTGTGATAAATCAACCTCATATTATTCTAAAGTGTGTTTTTATTTTCATTATGGATTATTTTCATGATATTTCTATAAAGTTTTATGAATGATTTAGGGTATGAATTGTCCATCATGTTATGATATGTAAAGTTGGATATGTTGAGACATTGATATCTTTGATAATTCTATAACATATAATAATTCATGGAAAAGCCCATTGTATGTTACATTGAGAGTCGTAGGTACAATTGGCATGCCATGAAGTGGAGTGATTATGATTATAATCTGGTACATTTGTGTACATTATGTATAGCACCGTTGGTGCAAGTGATATGATTGCACTTGGAGTGTGTAGTCTAATTTTGATAATAGAACTAAAGTGTTTATTGCGCACACTCGTATGACGCACATACCTTGCATTCTCATAAATATGCATTGGGCTATGAACTTGAAAAATAAGCTATAAGTCCAGAAACAAGTTCTGAAATGTGAAAGTACGGATTATGAAAATGAAATGTGAAAATGAATATGAAATTGAATGATAAAAATGAGATATGAAAGTTTTGTATTGTATATGAATGTAAAACAATATGATATTTATGTATGATATTGTTTATCATGGCTTTGTTATGACTATTGTGTATGATATTATTAATCATGGTTTTGATAAAATCATGAGATGATGATTTTCAAGTCCTTGATGAGGAAAAATGGTTGAATAAATTGGTTTGGATATTTAGTGATTTTATTGGAATTTAAGTTAATGTTTTAAATTGTTATGATATTATTAAGTTTTATATAAGTGAATATGTTGTTTAGATGTTGTTAAGTTGTTTGATATTTATATCACTTTAGTTTGTTTATAATGCCTCACTAAGTGTATACTTAGCGTGTGATGATTTTCACGCATAGGTAAAGAAGAGTAAGTGAAGTAAGGAGTTGAGTGGGCATCAATCAATAAAGAAAAAGTTACAAGTATCAGTAATGACATCCTACTATTTTTAAATTTTATAGATGACATATAAACGAATAAGAAAAGTCTAAGATATGTTATTATGGATATAAACACGAATTTAAGTTTTGTGTTTTAAATAAAAAAATATATTTTGAAGGAGTAAAGAGATATTTTAAATTAGACAGTTTATCTTATGATATAGAATAGTATAGAATTGTCTAGTTGTTTCCTGAAAGTGATATTGATTTGGAGGCTTAAATACTATAATATGATTTTACGTGATTACATTATTTATTGAAAGGATTAAATCGGATACGTTTTAAAAGTTCAAAATTTTACTGAATTTCAACCTTAGAATGTATGTAAAGTTATGTGACATCTTTGACTTGTATTCGGGTAAGTATACGGGTTAAGGGTGTTATAATCCAGACACAACATATATTATTGGGTTGCCATTTTTTGAGATTTTCGCACAACATATGTTTTTTTTTTTTAAAAATTAGATTTAGGGTTTGGTGAAAATACTAAAACCACAAACCCTTATTTATAGCCTTACACTCAACGATTATAAACGACTACTTTTTCAAAATCCATGGTCAAACTCGTCACCTTGATCGTTGCTGCCCTTCTACCTGTTGAACAATGACTAGCCAACAACTATTTATTCTATCAATTTTTATATAAATTTTTTTTTAAATTTTTAAAAAAAATTAATAAACTCGTCACCTTGACGTGACGAGTCACTATAAACCCAATTAAATAATGGCTCATGTGGGGCCCACTATACGGGGACCATTAAAAAATAATATCCGAGGACGAGTTCTAGGCTCGCTGTAGAAAATGTCGTAGTTTGCTAAATAAAAATCGGATGGGCCCAATATCCTAAATTTTTTACCCGCCTGAGGTATTGGGCCAAAAAAATCGACACCCCAACCTATTAGGGTCCACTTTCTTTAGCTTCCACGACCGGGTTTTCTTGCCCAATAGGGTAAACAAGTAAATTATTTAGAAAAATAGGACAAGTAGGAAGTTTGTTTTTGGAATAAAAGACATTTTCTATAGTATTCACAAAACTCGTCATGTCGATGTGACAAGTTTCAATAAAATATAATTTTTTTATTAAAATTTATCACATCGAGGTAAAAATTTTAAATAAAAAATATTTTTTATTAGAATTCGTCACCTTGACGTGAGGAGTTCCATGCACTGTAGAAAATGTCGTAGATCCCAAAATAAAAGTGTTTGTGCCTTATTTTGTAATTTTTTAATCTGCCTTATTGGGCCAAAAAAATCGTTGTATAACCTTATTCAAACAACTCCACTGAGAAGTTTGCATTTGACATCACACTCCTCATCGGTCTAGATGAAGAGCTTGATGTCTCAATTGATCCGTATTTTATCATTTTAAAGCCAATATTCAACATCACGGAATTGATATTGATATTCAACATCACAGAATTGATATTTTCAGCAACATGACCACCGATATAACCTCAATCGAAGCTCTAATACCAATTATTGGGAAATCGGGTTATTCCCTACACGAACGTAGTTTTAAAATTGACTTGAATGTCAACATCAAAACTACCAAAATTGCACAGCAAACAAACTCGTCAAACTATGGAATATTGAAACACAATATAAAAACTCAATAAAGAACAATAATGGAGAGAACACACCAAATTTCATCTATTCCTCGACACCACTAACGGATGATAACTTCATTATCAAAAAAATATTACAATGAATGGAATTCCTTAGAATTCCCCCATTAGTTGAGGAAATGCCATAAAGTGACTTTACTCAAGACTCGAATTTTTTTTTACTTTATTAGAGTAGTTGTTGCTCAAGAATCAATATAGTGACTGCTTTTATGTGACTGGATGCTCGTATGTATATATTAAATATGTGGCAGATGATATTGATACCTTCAACAAGATAATGGAGAAAGTAACAGCACCTTGATGCTTTGTAGGGGTCATGGATAAATTTTCATAGTCATAGCGGAGGGATCTCGACTCTTTTTGACCGGTCATCAAAGAGAGATCGAAATAGTCCCTTTAGTTAGGATGGAGCAGAGACATCTCAACACCATCGACTAAAGAAGATAACTCAATGCCCTTAGAGAAGTCTAAAGGATGGTCGAAGACATCTTTGCCTAAGTAGAAGCAAATGAAAATTTTCATCTAACTAGGGTGAAAGTATCTCGCACTCATAAAAGCAATGACTAATTAATTTTGATCATCGACCTTTTAATTTTGTCAATCACACCACTTAACTATTTAAATATTACTAATAAAGCCATTTATCATTAATATTTGATGAATGAGCTGACGTGTAGTTAAAATTAGTATAATTATATATTTGGTCCTTAATACTTATATATTTAATTAATTTGATCCTAATTTTAATTTATTCAATTAATTTAATTTTCTAATCATATGATTTTTAAAAATTATTAATTAATTTAAAAAGAGTCAATTTGATTATATATATATATAAGCATTGAATTATAAATATGAAAAATATAAAAGACATAAATTTTAGATTAAAATAAAAAAAAATTAAATTCATTTATACTTTGAATCGTGTATTAAGTAAGATTTAAATTATATATGAAATGTATCCAATTGAAACTAACTATTAAATTTGGAGTGATTTAGATACTTTCAAACTCTCTTGATAGCCTTGGTTTGAATCTTCTCTAGGCTACTTCCTTTTTTGGCATTAATTAAATCGTGTTGGAATCTTCATCACGAAATTATTTCATGGTACAGGTTCACTGCGTCATCTATAGTCCCAACGAATCAGAATTATAAATTTTAAAATAATTTCTAAAACAACTACTCACTCTTTATTTACACATAGGAAAAACATGAAGATTCACTTTAAAAAAATGAGATAGAAAATTATTTTTGAATGAGACAATTGATGACGTGGTGAGCTGAGATCATCTAATAATTTTTCCATCACAAGGATGAAGTTTGGGCTTTGGCCCAATGATAACGGTGTGTTCAATTATCTCCATAGATAGCATGTTTGGTCTTTCCCCAACCCTTTCATCTTTGCTTTAATTTGATTGTAGTACTTCTAATTGGAGAATTAAACTTAGTAAATAAATTAAATTTATGTTAAAATTGATTGAAAGTGTAAGTACTGAGAAACAAATGTATAATTATACCAATTTTTTTAACTTCTACATCATCTCCTCCATTAAATGTTAACAACTTGATTGATAACATTTAAATAGTTAAGGGAACCGATTGATAAAATTAAAAAATCAATGATCAAAATAGAATCTGCCCATAGTTAAATAGTCATGGCTGTAATTTGCACAATAAAGAAAGTGGAGAATTGCACACGTGTCACTAATAGGTGTTGAAAGCTTGGTAATTTCTATGTCCCACATCCTCCTGACCTAGTCCAAAAAATAAGAATTTTCTTCCAGATTATTTACAACGTGGCGAGCTGACGTGGTCAAATCTCATTGGCTACCACACGTAGCTTCCTCTGAAGGGTAAGGGGTTTTTCTAGTCTACACTGTCTATTCAGAGGTTTCTTCTCCGACAGAGAGATTCAATCTGGGCGATAGAGGAAAATCACGAATTCCCTAGAAAGTGACGGAAAATTAATAAAAAAAATGCGTGGATCACGATCTCTGCTGCTAATAGCTTTATCATTTCTCTTCACATTCTTCACCAAATCTAACGCTCTTTACGGTCCGTCGTCGCCCGTGCTTCAGCTCACTCCTTCTAATTTCAAGTCCAAGGTAAACCTTTCATACTGCGCCCTTGAGTAGAAAAGAAAATGTTTTAGAAAGGAATTGAAATGAATAAGGAGGATATAAATTTCTCTTAATTTAAATGTAATGCATCGCTTTGTTGGATCACAATTGAATAAATTAAATGCGATTAGAAATAAGTGAGTCCTTTAGGTTTTTTGTTTCTTAACTATACTTTATTATATTTACCTTAAAAAGTTATACTTTATTATTAAAGGCCTTTATTTTGTTTTGATTTTGAGGTATTAATTTTAATAATTAATTTATGAATTAGGTCATTTCTCAAGCTTAGATGAATGATTTAAAGAGTTTTAATGGCATTGCAGTTTTATGTTTCATACCATTTTGATTGGGTTTAAGCAATGATTTCAATTTACGTGATTTATTACTGTATGATTAAATTCCATAGTGAGGATACAACTGTAGCATATCATTTTCAATGCATTATGAAACACCTTTTCTTTGAATCTGACTTTTTCTTATTTATTAGTTATTTTTTAAGGGAAAGAGTCAGATTTTCAAGGAGAATATGTTATTCACTGTGATTTTTGAATTATGGCAGGTTTTAAATTCAAACGGAGTTGTTTTGGTTGAGTTCTTCGCACCTTGGTGTGGTCATTGCCAAGCTTTAACCCCAATATGGGAGAAAGCAGCCAATGCCTTGAAAGGTGTTGCTACTGTTGCAGCCCTTGATGCTGATGCTCACCAGTCCCTTGCTCAGGTTTGGGGAGTTCAAATATATCAAACACGCCTTTTGCTTAACTCTGAGATGTAGTCTAGGTTCTATATTGTTGGTGTGTTGTTTGTTCTTCAACAAGCAATGGTAGTTTGCATATAGTTCCTTATGCTGTCTAAACTTCTAGTCTTTGTTGCATTTTGAATGGGATTGTCAGTTACTGATAATATCTTGCATCTGGCTTGAAATTCTTTTGTTCACTTTTAATTTCTGTGCTTTTAAAAACTTTTTTCTGATTGCTACACAGGAATACGGGATTAGAGGATTTCCTACAATAAAGGTGTTTGCCCCTGGAAAGCCTCCTGTAGATTATCAGGGCACTAGGGATGTCAAGCCTATTGCAGAATTTGCCCTCAAGCAGGTTTGTTACAGTATGTTGATTGATTGAAGAATCTTGATTTTATTAGATCATAAATTCTGGGTGGATGATGTTGCAATCAAGTATTGCATTTGTTACCATCTTAAGATGATTCATTCCTTTTTAAGCCGCTATCTATTAAGATGGGATTGTCTTGTGGTGATAATTGATATGCATTAGTTCATAGATTCACTTTAAGAGGTGATTAGAAAAATGGACCAGACTAGCCGGGTCAAGCGATTGAATCAGGAACCGGTTGGTAAATCAGGTAGATTCAGTAAAAAAAAAAAGCTGGAAATCGAGAACCAGTGAAACCAGTTTCTTTTAATTCTTTTGTTAATTTTGGGTTTCTTCAACAAAAGAATTAGTTTGTTTCATTATGTTTTGGCCCTTCTAACCCAATTTTAAGGTAATTTGTAAAATTTAGAAGGCAATTCAAGTATGTCAAATTTATTCTACTATTTCACATTCTTTCTTGGACTTGATTATTTTGAACTCGGGTAAAGGCCCTTTTGAAAGACCGTTTGGATGGGAAAGCTTCTGGAGGATCAAGTGAGAAATCTGAGCCTAGTGCATCAGTAGAATTGAATTCCCGCAACTTTGATGAATTGGTGATCAAAAGTAAAGAACTTTGGGTTGTGGAGTTTTTTGCTCCTTGGTAAGCATGCTTTAAATCTTTAACGATTAGTCTAGTGTGCTCGTCAAGAAATGGTGTGTCACTAGTATCATTATACTTTCACATGCGTGAAACTTATAATAGATTAGCATACATTTATATAGGATCTCTTTTATGAATAAGAAACCAAATATTCAGAGTTTCATGATTTTTTTTGAAACTATTAATTGTGTGTCTGTGTGTGTGATTTTTTGGAAGATTATTTTAAATTAATTCAACGGCATGATACTGTGACCTTTTTTCGGAAGATAGTAATTGTGCGTGATATTTTAAATGCTTTTATGAACACATAATGTTGAACTTACTGAAGGCCAAGGTCCAACAGATAAAGCAATTAATATGTTCTGTATATATACCTAGAGTTGTAAATTTTGAATGATATATATATATATATATATACACACGCACACACATATACATATACCCCTTATGCAAAGATATCATATAAGATTGATGGGATTAAATCGATCACAATGCAATAATCTATGTTACATAAATTTTTGCACAAAATGTATGCTTCCTAACATTGTAAGTTTCTAGTTATTATCTTCTAATTGTGGCTGGTTGATACCACATATACACTTCCTTGAAGGTGTGGACACTGTAAAAAACTTGCTCCTGAGTGGAAGAAGGCTGCTAATAGCCTGAAGGGAAAGGTGAAGCTTGGTCATGTTGACTGTGATTCTGATAAGGTAATTTACCCAAATAAAATTTACTTGGAATTGCTGCAATTCTGATTTGACTTATTTACAAATTAGGAGTCAGAAATCTACGAAGTTGAATTTTGCCATTAATTTTTGCTTAAACTTGATATCCCAAGGCATCTGCCTTCTGAGAATATATTCATACCCAGAAACTACTCTATGAAATCTTATTAGAACCGATAAAGGTGCTTCCTTATTTTGGACAATTTCAGATTGGGGAAATGATAAAAAAAAAAAAAATTTATGTTGTCATAGGAAGTTTTCAATGTAATTGTTTCTATATTGTTGTTTTAATAATGGGGTGTGGCTTTGCAGTCTCTCATGAGCAGGTTCAATGTGCAAGGGTTCCCTACCATCTTAGTATTTGGTGCTGACAAAGATAGCCCAGTTCCTTATGAGGGAGCTAGGACTGCCTCTGCCATTGAATCATTTGCTCTAGAGCAGCTTGAAACAAATGTCGGACCTGCTGAAGTGACAGAGCTGACTGGCCCAGTAAGTCTCACACTCATGATTCAGAAACAGTTCATTCTTTTCAGAACTATATAGTTGCTTACTGAAAAGTACAATCTATTCACTATAGGATGTAATGGAGGAGAAATGTGGTTCGGCTGCCATATGCTTCCTTGCTTTCTTACCCGACATTCTAGACTCCAAGGCAGAAGGAAGGAACAAGTACTTGGAGATGTTATTGTCAGTTGCAGAGAAATTTAAACGAAGTCCTTACAGGCAAGTACATGCAAGTTAATTCTCTCTCAATTTCATTTTGTATATACGTGCGTGTGTTTTGTTCTGATGACCAATTTCATCTCCTATAGCTATGTATGGGCTGCAGCCGGAAAGCAACCAGATCTTGAAACGCGGGTAGGTGTTGGTGGGTACGGTTATCCAGCTCTTGTAGCCTTGAACATCAAGAAAGGAGCATATGCTCCACTCAAAAGTGCATTTGAGCTTGAGCAGATCACGTAAGTGTTTCTTTTCCGACTTTGTGTACCTTTTATGAATGAACCAAAACAAATCTTGGAATATGCAAACATTTTGTCCATGTCAGGGAGTTTGTGAAGGAAGCAGGGCGCGGAGGCAAGGGAAATCTACCATTGGAGGGGAAACCCGAGACCGTGAAGACAGAACCATGGGATGGTAAAGATGGAGAAATCATTGAAGAGGATGAATTCTCACTTGAAGAACTCATGGGAGAATCTACAGAAAGCAAAGATGAGTTGTGATAAAATTCGGGTTTAGTTTAGTCAAAATAAGTATTTTTGATGTTTAGCGTGACCGGGTTGTGTCGTTTATTTGGTTTCTACCTATTGATCGAATATCTGAAGGACTTGGGTTTTTACTAATTGAAACACTTCACTACGAATGTTCAATATATTTATGGAAGTTCCTTTCATCTGGCATCAATAAATGTATATTAGATTAGTACATGCTTACTATCTATCACTACGTTTTTGAATGAATGACATGATAAATTAATTATGCAATAAAACAATCGAACAATCTAAACTCATTACTAAATTTTAAAATATTTGAAAAGTACTGGACTTTTAATTCTACATTTGAAATTTAGACCTCTCCCCCCCAATTTTTTTCTTCTAAAACTAAGCTCTATTTTTCGATTTAAATAAAAATCCAACTGTTTATGTATTATATTGAAATAAAAATTAAAGGATGAATTTTAAAGGTTTAATAGTTAATATTTCTTAGAAGTTAGCGATAATCTTGTAATTTTTTTCTGATTTTTATTGTCATTAATGTTTAGTGACCACGAGTGTAATTTCTATGGAAGTTTTTTTTTTTCTTTTCGATTTTATGATCAGAGTGAAAACAACCTAAAAGTTTAGTTACATGAGTGTAATTTTCCTTTTGTTAAAATTAACATAATTAGCAATTTCGGGTTCGAGTCCTTATGTGTGCAGAAAATTTTCGTTGAGAGATTCATTCACCAAAATCAAGTGTACTACTTAGATCAATTCGAATTGATCAAAACGAAATCTTAGGAACTGAAATGATAAAAAAAAATAACATAATTAAAAAAAATGAAACTTTCTTGAAGTATCAAGAAAATGCTCATTTTTGGAAAAGACTTGGTTAAAATTGTTGTATTTATTGATTTTTTATGCATTATTTTCGTCTTCAAAAAATATGAAAATCCAACATGAACAAATTGGAGGTATTTCCAATTCCGAAGGTTGAATTGCTAAACCCAGCTTGACAATTTATCCCTCTAATAAAGGTAAAGCCTACCCAAAATTGATTTTCAGCCATGAGCAGATGAAACATAACTTGAAATTAATTGGTGAGCACACCAGCCATGTCTTCAACCAAAACACCATGATTACCCAGTTGGGAAAATCTGGTAAAATCGAAGAAGCCGTCAAACTTTTCTCCCTAATGACCATTAAGAACACTGTAACTTACAACTCCATGATTTCAACTATCAATAAAAACGGCAAAATCAACGATGCACGTCGCCTGTTCGACAACTTGACTCATAGAAGCCTAGTTTCTTGGAACACGATGATTGCTGGGTACTCACACTGCGACAGAGTTGATGAAGCTTATCGCCTGTTCGTTGAAATGCCTAAAAGAGACAAATTCTCTTGGACTCTGATGATGACTTGTTTTGCACGTAACGGCGAGCTTGAAAAGGCTAGAGAACTGTTTGATTTATTTCTTGATAGGCGTGATGTGGCTTTTTGGAACGTGATGGTTCAAGGGTATGGTCAGAAAGGAAGGTTTGCTGAGGCAAAGAAATTGTTCGACGAATTGCCGCTTAGGAATGTGATTTCATGGAATTCGATGTTATCCTGTTATACCCGGAATGGGGAAATGCATTTGGGGAGGGAGTTTTTCGCGGGAATGGCGATGAGGGATGTTGTTTCATGGAATTTGATGGTCGATGGGTTTATTGAGGTTGGTGATTTGGATTCTGCTTGGGATTTTTTTTCAGAAGATTCCATATCCGAATGTTGTTTCCGGGGTTACAATGTTGTGTGGGCTCGCACGAAGTGGAAAGATATTGGAAGCAAGGAGATTGTTTGATCAGATGGAGAATAACAATGTTGTTTCTTGGAATGCTATGATTAGTGCTTATTTGAAGGATTACCAAATTGAGGAGGCTGCGAGGTTGTTTAGGGAGATGCCGAACAGGGATTCAGTTTCATGGATCACAATGATTGATGGTTATGTTCACGTTGGCCAGCTTGGTAAGGCAAGGGAAATACTGAATCAGATGCCCTACAAGAATATTGCGGCGCAAACTGCAATACTTTCTGGATACATTAAGAATAAAATAATGGATGAAGCTTGTCAGTTTTTTAATGAGATTGCTGGTAGAGATATTGCTTGTTGGAACACCATGATTGCAGGGTATGCACAGATGGGAAGAATGGATAAGGCGCTTGATCTATTCAAGGAGATGGAAGATAAGGATTTGGTCACTTGGAACACCATGATCATTGGTTATGCTAAAACTGGAGAAATGGACAAAGCGGTTAAGATAATCGAGGAAATGAAGATAAAGAATGTAGTCTCTTGGAATTCATTGATATCAGGTTTCTTGCACAATGGCTTATCAATGGATGCATTGAATAGTTTCAAAGTGATGGCTTGTGAAGGAATAATACCCGATCATTCAACTCTTGCGTGTGGACTAAGTGCATGTGCCAATCTAGCGGCTTTGCAAGTTGGAAAGCAGGTGCATGTTAAGGTATTGAAGAGTGGTCATTTAAATGATCTGTTTGTAGGGAATGCCTTGATCACCATGTATGCTAAATGTGGAAGGATCTTCTCTTCTCGGCTCATATTCGATGATCTTGAAGAAGTTGATGTTATTTCTTGGAATTCTCTGATTGCTGGGTATGCTTGTAATGGTTATGGAAAAGAAGCGGTTCAACTCTTCGAACAAATGGTGTTAAAAGGAGTACGCCCTGATCATATCACCTTCGTTGGGGTTTTATCAGGTTGTAGTCACATTGGCCTTATTGATCAGGGTTTAAAATTGTTTAAAAACATGAGTGAAATTTACTCTATAGAACCTTCGGTTGAACACTATGCTTGCGTCGTTGATATGTTAGGCCGTGTCGGAATGTTATACGAAGCCTTTGAAGTGGCGAGGGGATTGAAGGTCAGGGAAGATGCCAGAATATGGGGTGCATTGCTGGCAGCTTGCAAGACACATGGGAATTTGAAGCTTGGTAAGATTGCAGCTAAACAGCTTTCGGAATTCGAACCTGATGAAACTTCAAGCTTTGTGTTGTTGTCAAACATGCAAGCCGAGGCTTGTAGTTGGGATGAAGTTGAAAACACAAGGTTATAGATGAAAGACACTGAAGCAGAGAAGCAACCAGGCTGCAGCTGGATTGAAGTTAGACATCAGTTACATTGTTTTCAGTCCAATATGCCAATGCAGACGGAGACAACGGAGGCTTACAGCCAACTGAAGGCCTTAACCTCATAGATAAATAATTTGGATTGCGTTTCTAACTTAGCATCTGTACTTGATAATTTATGATAAATGGCTTCCCTATTTATTATTATTTGCACGAATCAAGCAACCTTAGTTAAATGATTGTTGTTATCCCTTGAAGTACTGGGTTCTAGCATGACATCTACAAGGTTATATGAACGTTCATTGTCAAATGGTCAAGAATCTTTTTAATAGGTTACCGTGGTCAAAAGTTCTTAGTTGACACTTTTAATCTCCCCTAGGTTGTGGGTAATACTCATTAGGAGTAACGATTTAGTGATAATAGAAATGTTAGATGTTGTGGAAAGTCTCTCTACCTCCCAAGGTTTCGCAGATTTTCTTTGATTTTGACATCTTTTGATTTACCAGTTTGGATTTGGAAGATTTAGAGAGTTTGTTTCATTGTTTCCTTGAGGGATGATCGGAAAATATTACAATCTTCGGACAAGATACTGAATCTACTGTTCTGGAAAAAAGTTTATATTATGAAAAGAAGAATGGATGCACAAATGTTCACATTGATTCTACTGAAAACTGTCTTCGCATATGAAATCTGGAAGGCGCTAGATGGTGGAAGTTTAATTAACATCGAGGCACTGAGAACGAATGTATTGACTCAATAGACAATCAAGAGTTACTCGCAATTTACAGCCAAATATCACACTGAACCTCATAAAGGTCGGTCTCGTTAGATTTTCTGGTGAAATGGTTGACCTTGCTAAAGAAACTTCGGGATTTAAGAGCTATCCATCGGAATATCACTGGCATTAGGGTTACCTAGGTTTTCAGACATACTTCTCTGGGTCTGACCGGCACCAAATGTGAACCCATGCTGAGGAACTTCTAAAGGTGGTCGTGCAAAAATAGAAGCACCACCGAGATCACTGAAAGCCGGAATAGTTATAGGAACTGGATCGTTTGAGAGGCCAAAATTGAGGACGGGGCTCCAGCTGGTGGGAATGTAGGCAGTGCGGGATTGATGCTTTCGGATCCAAAGCTTTTGCTCATATTCCTGCAATTGCTGGTACACAGCTGCAAACCACATGAAAACAACAATATGTACAAGGTTGTACAAATGTAAACATCACGACTACAAGTCTATAATCCTTAAACTCATTTTCGATCATACGAAAGAAATTACTTTTGGAAACAGATTCACTTAACACGTGCAAGTCATACATATAGCTTACTCATGAATGAAGCATTTCTACTCTAAATTCTTTCGGGTGGAAGGAAAAGTTGATTTTTCAGTTAAAAACTACAAAACATTATCCACTCATCCCATGCAATCTATCAAATACCAATCAGAAATCGGAAACAGGTTGATAGTTTCAGCAGCATTATACTTTTCCCGTTTCCACATTGATATTACACGACATCCATTTTCCTCTTGCAAGTGGCACTCTTATATTCTTTTCGATTAAGCTAATGACATCCAATTAACTAAAATAACAACTTATTAGTTAATCTATGTCAATGCTGGTAAATACCTTAACTCCACAGATGATCTCCACTCTTTCACCCACTGATAACTTTGCGGAAGCCACCATCCTCTAGACTTCATCAAGTAAGCTATTACAATAGCTGGAGACCTGTCAGAAAGAATATTCGCAAACATTTTCGTAAGTTTAAATTGGTATACATGCCCGTATATCCCTTCTCAAGAAGTAAAATACCAAACTTCTAATTATTCCTTTTTAAAAAAGAAAAAATAACAGAAAAGTGTATACAAACAAATGCAAAGCAGTTTATCTTTTGTGTGCAAAATAACAAAGTGAAATACCCAATTTCCGCATTAAAATTTTTTCGGGCTATGAAATAAGATTAAAGAGAGAGGAACACTTTAATATACTTGTGTTTTTCTTAGTGCCTATTTCTTGGATAAGGGGGAATGAAGCAGTAAAATCAACCTATTTTTTCCGGACATGCAATGCACAAGGACTCGAGCCTTATCCCTCTCGCACAGCTCTGCAAATTTAGAAACAAACCACAGGTCAAAATATGCCAATGAGAATATAAAACTATGCAACACGTCAATTGACAGTCTCTGAGCTACTTTAGTGCAACCGACAAACATTAATTAACAAAATATACTCTCCACAGCCATTTCACTAGGGTAACAAAGGCATCATGATTTAACCACAGAGCAAATCATAAGAAAAATACCAAGTTGAGAAAAGTGTTTTGAGATCTAAACTCGATTATCTTAGCAATGTTTCCAAATTTTGAACACGAATTTGACAGCGAAACACTCATAGTTAACAATGTGAAATCCATAAAACTAAGAAGCCTCTCAATATGTAACATAAAAGGAGAAAATATTACTCAATAAATGCTTCTCAGGACATTAAAAAAGGGTGTGAATGTTATTGAGTTCTGCTCAAACCAGCATTGTGAATTTTGCACAAGTAAAAAAAAAATTACTATGCAAAAAAGAGGAAATACCAAAGCCGTGCACAAAGGAGGAGGTATCAAAGTCAAGCTTTTGAAAACAGACTCAAAATGCAAGACAAAGGTTAACTCACCTAAAAATTGTATTGCATCGTCAAATTGTAAAATTTTGTCATCTTGCAGGCAGTGATAGACAAATGAATTCTTATAGATTTTGACAAGCAGGTACAGTCTGAGTAATAATGTTTAAAACATAAGGATATTCCATACAAGCAATCTGCAATTTTTTAAACTTGGCAGCCTTCAATTGCATCACTAATAGCGATTGGATGACAGAACCTATTTGTTTGCTTAGTTTAAAAGTACATTCACAACATGAAAAACAATAACTTTATAGTCACCAAAGTTTATCACAGTTTCTCCCCAATCCTGCTATAGTATCAATTAAATTAGGTCCAATTCCAAAACATAATCATATTACCATTCTTTGATGATAAGAAGTTCTTAATCTTTGACCCATTTAAATAAATTTCTGTTTTGCGCCCTTAGAAAAGAAAAACAGAATCCATAAACTTCCAAAATGTGTAACTCTTGCTATAGCCTATAGGCTTTTCACTAGCAGTTGTGTTCTGCCACATGCTGGTTAATTCTAAATGTCCGATGGAATCTTAATTTAACATCAAAAGGAAATCCCATCACTATAGTAAAATGGAGCTCCAATGCATCCATTACTCTCTAATTATGATAGACTGAACCGAATACTGTGAAAGGTTAATTCTGAAAATCATTTGCCCCTTTAACTTTGAACTGTCCACCATTCTATGCCTATATACCTAATCAAATGGCAATAACGTTATCCTAACTAAAAATTCTAAAGCAAACACTATGGCTTTGCTTGGCTGGGTGGAAAAGTGGAAGGATGGAAGCAGGGAGGGGAAAAGTTGAAAGAAAATAAATTTTGAATGTGCTTGGTAGGAAAGAAAATGAGAGGGATGATCATTTTCCTAAAAATAAATCATTCCAATTTGGCAGGAAAAGATGAAAGAAAATGGGAGGATATGAGTTAGTTCAAAATATGTATTTTTCAAAGTTTAATTTTCTTTCCTCTCATCTTTCAATTCTGCCAAGCAATGAATGGAAAGAATTATATTTTCATTCAATTTTACCACCATTTCTACCAAGCACACCAATGGAAAGAAATTTTTTTTTAATCTTTCAAATTTTCTACCTCTTTAATTTTCAATCCTTCCAATTTTCTTTCCACCCTACCAAGCAAAGCCTATGAAAATCAATCAACTTCACTTACATATCTGACACCACCATCAGGTTCTCCTTGTAAAACTCAAAACCGAAAAAGAAAACAATCGCTCTTTCGACTATTAGACCACCAAATCTTACTATTATAGTATTATTCTACTTCTAACTTCACTCAATTGCACCTGCACATCCTGTTCCAGTCTTGCCTAGAGCCAAAATCATACATTTGATTAAACTTCTTCCCTATGTTTCAAACTCGACAACAAAAATATATGTTTAACTCATCATCCACAAGTTTAGCCCAAAGTTAAAGGCTTCACCTAGAGTCTTAATGTAAATCCACTCTTAATGGATAGTTTAACTTAACTCTATCCTGAAAGTTGCAATTAATCTTTCATTCACATCTCTAATCCCCGAATATCAATAAGACTTCTACAGGAAAAAACTGAGATAGGAATTTTCCAGATCAATAAAGCTACAAGATGTTCCTCAAATAAAGAATTAGTTCAATACATTCAAAGTTCAAACAGCAGAATAGAAACCTTAACATATACAAAACAAAAAATCTTCTCTTTCTGATTACAATCAGTAAACAATCATAAATAAACTTTTCCCCAAATTCTGCATTCATCAAATCAATAAATCCAACATCAAAAGTAAAAACAATAAGTTGCCATTAATACAATGAAAATAAGAAGAAAAAGAAGAAAAGGGGCTTACGTTAAGGACGCGAGTAATTCCTTGAGTCATGAGAAGCTCAGAGCGAGAGGCGTTATCATAGCTACACAAATAGAGGAAGTCAGGCAAGATCACCGATGGGAATTATCTAAAACTAAGACAAAATTTTGAATTATATATTAGTAACATAATTTCTTAAACTCAACTTTATATTAATAAAATATTTTAATTAAAATATCAAATTAAATAATAATTTTAATTTTATTATAAAATAAATATTTAAATTATTGTTTCTCAAGATATATATCTATTGTTTTATTCGTAATTATTTTCGGTCGTCTATTAAAAAATTATTGTTCTTTATTATATTGTTCTTTAAGTTCTGATTTTTTTTACTCAACTGATTATACGATCAAAGTGTTTTGGGACTAAATTTTTAGAGTTACAGCTTGACTTCATTTCGCATAAATAGATTTTTATAATCGAGTAAATTTTTTAGATTTAAAATTTTTTATTTTAATAATTAAAAAATAAAGATTTACGTATCGAAATAGATGTATTTTCAAATCTGAAGTATTTAATATTTAGGCAAAAGGATAGATAAGGTCCTAGTTTAAAAAAAAAATTAATATGATCATTTGACCAACGTTTTTCACCATTGATCAATGATTCCTTTACTTTTTACCGACGTGGCATGTTAAGTAAGTCAGCATCCTATTTTTTCTCTCAATCTGGTCCTTCAACATAAGAAAATAACTCAATTTGGCCCTACTATTTTTTCTTTTCTATTTTGGTCACTAAACTTTAAAAGTTTTCAATTTAATATTGAACTGTTGAATTGCTTCTATTTTAATCATCATGATTTATTTTATTAATATTTATGTATGATGTGGCATTTATTCTTTTCAACCAAAGATTTATTTTTTTTCTTTCATTATCAGATTCAGTGAACCCATATTGAACTTGCAAAAAAAAAACTAGGGATGAGCTAGTTAACCGGGGTAATGAAAGAAAAAAATCCTTGGTTAAAAAGGAAGAAAAATGAAATGAGAGGATAAAGGAGGAGAGTGGAGCTTTGGAAATATATAAAGTATAGGGAATATTTTTAATTTAATTATAATTTTGTGAATATTTTTCAATATAATTTTAAAATTTTAATTTAATTAATATTATTTTAATCATATATTAATAAAATAAGAATAGTAAATGTCACATCATACATAAATATTAATAAAACAAATCATGATGAATAAAACATGAGTAATTCAAAAGTTAAGTGATTAAATTAAAAAATTTTAAAGTTTAGTGACTAAAATAGAAGAGAAAATATAATTGAGTGATGAATGATATAATTTTTCATTTATAACAACATTAAACAGTTGGTCGAGGGCCAAATTGAGTTATTTTCTTGAGTTTAAAGATCATATTGAGAGAAAAAATGTGATGTTGACCTGCTTAACGTGCCATGTCAACACAAAGTAACGGAGTCATTGGTCAATGACGGAAAACGTTGGTCAAAGGACCACATTGAAAAATTTTCTTTAAAAAATATGAGGTCCTTAGTTATCCTTTTGTCTAATATTTACAATTATTTATTTTTTAAAAAAATAAAGAAAGAAGATGATCGAATGTAACACAATAAACATTTTTAGTAGTTTTTTAATAAATAATTAAAAAATAATTATAGAATAAAACATTGAATACTTAATTATAAAATAAAACATAAATTTACTCGCTTTAAAAAATTTAAACAATCAAAGAAAAATAGTATATTTTGATTGATATTTTAAGTTTAAAATGAGTGTTGAGCGATTGGCTTTTAGGAAGATCAATTTTAGGAGTTAGGTTGGAGTAAACAAAGTTAAACCTTTGCCTGCACGGACAAACCAAAGCGGTATGGCAAGACGCTGTTGGCGTGAACTCAAAACGACATGTCGTTTCCAACTGCCTCGTCACCTTTCTTCTTCAACCTCTCTCCCGCCGCCGCCGCCTCTTTCCTCTCCCCGGAGGGTGGTCGTCACGGGTACTATACCTTTCTTCACTCTCATTTCTTCGCATATGAAAATTTTTCTGTGCGACCCATTCTTCTTGTTGCACCAATTCCGAGACTGGTTGGTTATTTGTGTTTTGGGTGTCAGGGCTTGGCCTGGTGACTCCACTCGGCTGCGGAGTAGAAACAGCATGGAAACGTTTGATAGAAGGCGAGTGTGGGATAAGGGCAGTAACCCCTGAGGATTTAAAGATGAATGCTTTTGATAAACAAACTCAGATGCTTACCTTCCATCACTTGACTTCGAAAGTTGCTGCAATTGTGCCCTCTGGGACTGGCACTGGTGAATTCAATGAGGACCTTTGGCTTAACGCCAAGGTAATTCCCCCCCTTCTTCGTGGTTTTGGCTTATGACCCTTTGATTGTATTTTGTTTGTGTGTGTGTGTGTTTTTACTTTGTCATGTTGTATTTTGAGGTCAAGTGTTCAGTTTTGGTACTCTGGATTATGGAACAAGTTCTTAAGCAAATATTGAAAGGGACATTGACATTACATGGATGTTACTTTTCAAGTACTTGGTAAATTTCCATTCTTAGCAAGAAACTTGGGTAATTAAATATATGAAGATAAAACAAAAGACATTGATTTCTTGCAACTAGTGGAAAGGGGTTTTAATTTTCTAGCTATTTCTCAACCAAAGGAGCTCTGTCTGCATGGAAAGAGGTTTCCATTGTACCTTGATGTGATTTCTGTTTTTTCACATCTCAGAACCCAAAGTTGCTTTTATTTTTCTGAAGTGATGTGCAGTGTCTTGTCTGATGCTAAATTACTTATTTATTCTAAGGAAGATTACGTTGCTATTTTGTTCTGTTATACTAATCGATTTGTAATGCAATTTTTTTTAATTTTATGTTACTACCGTTAATGATTCTTGTTGCACAGGATCAGCGATCAGTTGCAAGATTTATAAGCTATGCATTATGTGCTGCTGATGAAGCTTTAAAAGATGCAAAATGGGTACCCTCTGATCAGGAAGAGAAGGAAAGAACGGTAAACACTTATTAATATATGATCATATGTGATATATATCTTTTGTTTCTTTTGACTCTCTTATTCTTTATTAATTTGTGGGTCACCACTCACCAGGGAGTATCTATTGGCGGTGGGACTGGAAGTATCAGTGATATATTAGATGCAGCACAAATGATTTGTGAGAAGGTTGGTTTCCTGCAGCCATGCATTTTGTCAGTATGATCGTAAGTATTTCTATTATCAAGACTTGCTCATAGTGTCACCATCATTCCTTTACTCATTGGCTATGGGCTGGAAAATGAAGTCCTTGGTTCTGGAAACAATTAATATGGCAAGTGACATTTGTGCTCTTTTAATACAGCGAATTCGTCGACTAAGTCCATTTTTCATTCCGAGGATTCTTATCTACATGGCATCTGGTCACGTGAGCATGAAATACGGATTCCAGGTGAGTAAATAGTAATTTTTTTTATATATGACATGATTGTGGCCTTATAATGACCAAAACCTAGTTAAGCAAAAATTTTCATTTAAGGTCAGTTACCGCTGCAATTAGAATGGAGCTTCGTTGCCACAATGGCTCTAGTTCATCTGTCAGATCATTTCCGGGAAGCAAAATGCTTGAGTTCAAATAAAATTTTAGTTGTTCTCAAATTTATGACTAATATTACAAATTGTTGGAAATTACACCAGGTTGCCATAAAATTTAGTGTAGGGGTCAGTTTCCTCAATAAGTAGTTGATTGCTGACTTGAACTTCTCTTACAATTTTGTAACAGAAAATTGAAGTTACTTCCAAAGTAGAATTTATTGTTTCGTAGTTTAATTACCCTTTTGAACATAGGGACCAAACCATACTGCAGTGACTGCTTGTGCGACCGGGGCTCATTCTATTGGTGATGCGATGAGGATGGTTCTATTTGGAGACGCTGATGTTATGGTTGCTGGTGGCACAGAGTCCAGTATTGATGCTTTATCAATAGCTGGATTTTGCAAGTATTGACCAAAACTTAATTACAATTTTTTGTTTTGCTGCAATATCCTTTTTGTCTGGTAAAGATTTTGATAAAGTTTAGGAAAATGATGGAAGATTATTGAAGGCCAATATGAAAGTAGTATTATGTATGTATATGATGCACAAAACTTTTGATACTATGGCATTTCTCCTTGTTAGTGGACCCTTCAAAACATATCTCTAGTGCATTTAACCAAAGCTTCTCATCTTTAAAATGAAAATTTGACAGAATTGCTTCAGCAGGGATGACTCTAAGAGACATTGTATATCTTGATGGACAAAAATGTTAAGTAAATTGATTGTTATTAAATTTAAAATTTTGAAGTTCATGCTCGATTCTCTTTAGCTTTTATTCCTTGAAGAAGACCACAAATTAAAAATTAGGGTGGTTAACCCCTTATGCTGATAACCTTTTTGTTTTAAATTCCAGGGCTAGAGCTTTGACTACCAAGAATAATTCTTGTCCTGTAGAAGCTTCACGCCCTTTTGACTGTGACCGGGATGGGTTTGTGTGAGTGATGATTGGCTGGTTAATTGTGCCGAGCTCATTCTTTTATGCTATTTTTTTAATTATCATATTTTTCCAGTATAGGTGAAGGTTCTGGTGTCTTGATATTAGAGGTAAATTGAACTATAGTTTTCGTTGCATATATTTCAATTACGAATCCCATCCCTAGTTGTCGTCTGTTATATTTTCCATTTTTTTTTCATAAATGCTTATACGCCTTTTCTATTAAGGAACTTGAGCATGCAAAAAGTCGAGGGGCAAAAATTTACGCAGAAGTCCGTGGCTATGGGATGTCAGGTTGTTTTCGAAGAAATGAAAATATTCTACGATAATTTTGGTAGTAATATGCAATAATCTTTTTATTAACACAAATTATGACTTCTAGGTGATGCTTATCACATTACACAACCACATACTGATGGTAGAGGTGCCATTTTGGCCATGGCACGTGCCTTGAAACAAGTAATATTAACGATTACTTTTGATTTGTTATCAGTTATGTCTAGCATCTATAACAATATCTAGAGGATTCTTTGTTCTGCTCCCATGGGTCATATTTGAGTATAAACAGGATTGTCGACTGCTCACACTAATATTTATATCTTTTTGTCTTGGTAGCATTTTGGGCAGAAGTCCAAATTGTATGTGATTGCAGCATGCTTGAGAATATATGGCTTGAGAATGTAGAAGTATCTTTCAGGAAACTTACCCATTCATGACCATAAAGTGCTGCATGTTAGTTTCTTCACAATTAAATGTGCACTTCTGGATTTTCTAGTAGTTGCATTTCACTGGCACTTTACCTGTGATACTCTGACAAGTTACTTGCTAGTAATGTTATCTGGTTTATCACGTGCTTACATATTGTGCCATTCCAGGCTGGTCTGCATCCTAACCAGGTGGACCATGTGAATGCTTTGGGTAAGTTGTTGTTTGATGTTCTAAAGTTCATTAGAACTGGCTTTGGTGCAATTCATATATCTGGAACATCTTGTTTAGGTGATAGAATTGAAGCCAATGCAATCAAATCCATATTTGCTGACCATGCAACATCTGGTGCTTTGGCGTTTTCCTCGACAAAGGTAAATTTCATTATTTCAGACCTGATCTAGGAGAGAATTATCTTTAACCAGTCTAGGCAAAATTACGGTTAGTTATTTATGCATCAATAACTGGAACTGACCAGATAGTTTGAAATTGGCCTTGCTGGAATATTTTATCTGTTTAACTTCTTCCACCAATGTCCACAATTTAGAAAGGACTAAAGTACAGATGAAGACAATAATTGAACTTCAAAAGGGGCTGAACTCTGCCCAAGATATAGTATTTAAGGTGATTACTGATAAATTCAACTTGTTTTTTTCTCCTCCCGAGAGCGAGAGAGCATTATTGATAAAACTGTTCACATCTCTACCTAAAGAAATGTGCATTCAAAATTTTTTAACGACTTCTACAAAGTTTCTTACTCTTGGAAACATATGGGGGAAAAGAGAGGGAGTGGACTAGGAGTAATGGAAAAACTTATGTTTTTTTCCAGTGCTGGACCATGCCCTTTTACTGTAATTTGATTAAGTTTTTTCCCCTGCAAATAACTTTCATCTATTTATCAACCATTTCCTTTTTTAAAACTGCTACAAATGCCTTCATACACAGGGTGCCGTCGGTCATCTCCTTGGTGCAGCCGGAGCTGTTGAAGCAATTTTTACTGTTTTGGCCATACACCATGTATGTATATCAATTAGCTGCTCTTTAACGATTCAATTGAAAGCACCTTTCAACTAATTGGTGGGACACAGTTTTCAGAAAGCTTTTGAAATGGTTCTAATAGGAATTCCCACTTGTATGAGTCACTTTGTGATCCCTATATACGTATTTATCTGCCCATATTTAATTAGAGGTTCAACCTTGTTAAAATGTGCGGTACACCTGAGAAAGTTTGAAACTGTACTAAACGATCGTCTTATTGCAGGGGGTTGCACCTTTGACACTAAATCTCTCTAAACCTGATCCCGTATTTAATGATGCTTTCATGCCTCTGACTGCTTCCAAGGAAATGCCAATTAGAGCTGCATTGTCTAATTCTTTTGGCTTTGGAGGAACAAATGCATCCTTACTCTTCGCATCCTCCTCCTAGAACGGAATGATCGGTCAAACATTCTTGTTTGGTGGGTATTGGATGTCATCTCCTTGGTTTAATTGCACCTGCACCTTTAAAGCCGATAATTCGGTTATTGTGGCAGAATCTTGATTATTTTTTCGTTCTTGGATTTTATAACAGTAAACTTGCAGAGAAACAATGTCATTATGTGATTGCAGAAACATTTTGAGCTTCAGACTCCATAGGACTGACAGTCGGCAATAGCTACTATATAGCTGAGAAAGATGTTATGAAATTTTTATGATTTGGTAGTCATTGAAGTAATACAAATTGAAATATGCCTTTGGTCATATCTTTGTACATTCAACAAGCTTTTTCTACATTCCTGGTTATGTTGACCAAAGGGTTTGCATCTTAAGTATAACTTTACAACGGGAAGAAGTTGACAATTTGTCTCATTTCTCTCCCTGTAAAACCGTTTTGAGGACGTCTCCAGGTTGCACAATATGAACACCGATCTTATCTGAGAGCCGATCAAGATTGTCTGATACTGAATAGGTAACATCACTGCAAACGCTGACTTTTGAATTAGAGAAAATAATTTCAGCATTCTGAAGGGTGAAGCCATGAATGATGGGCAATGGGAAACCTTTTCCAAGGTAGGAATTGGCATACGGTATACCGACAGTTTGAACGAGCGTCCACATCACCGGCTGCAATGTGTAAAGGATAGATACATTAGACCTTTTCATGATAACCATGAATAATAACCATTCACCTGATTGAATACTAAGTTCACAACCTGTATCAGATACATTCGAAGATTGCCAATTTTGCTCCACTTCAACGACATTGCCAAGTCATCTAGGTTCACACTGCCACCGAGGTTATTCCCCACAATTTTAATTGAACCCGAGCCGCGGATCACCTGTCATAACCAATGCAACAATATTGGTCAAAGAAAGGGACACAATATTTCCTATCATGCTTTGAAAGCAATTTCTCTTTTTTAATCCAGAACCTATGGAATAAGATAATCTAGAGAAAAACCATGTATTGTGATGAACTTCGTGAAGAAGGAAAACACATTAATGGAACATAGAGACAGCATTACAATAGTCAAAAAACTTAACCAACAAGTAAGTGCCTATTTAAATCTGGCAAAATTTCGATGGATTCCTATCTAAATCTAATTCACAAAAAAGCTTTCTTACAACAATATAACCACACAAAAAATAATTCCTTTAAATCAAAAGAATATAATAAAACTAATTTAAAAACTCATACTGAATATTGATCATTGGGCTGCCCTCTAGGAAACTTGATTTTGGTGAACATATCTGCCACAGTTGTCATGATTGATTAACCATTTGGGGTGCAGAATGAGTGAATGACCGATGAACTTAGTGAAATAAAGCACAAATAACAAGACTATCAAGTGTGCTAGGCCAATGAGATGAAATTAGCATACCAAGGAACCATGAGGTATTTTTAATCAAAACCAAAGAAAGAAAACATAGGTGCAATGAGAATTAAGCAAATTCCATACCAATGAAATGCAGACAACCGGTATCACTTGATCAGCTTCAGCTACATCAATTATCACGTCTGCATAAACGGTGGCATCAATTTTATGCTCGGAAATCCTTACGACTGGCGGAGAAGACAGAGAAATGTTCAAATTCATATCATCATTTGGATATTTCTTGTACAGTTGGGGAATAATAAATCTCCATTCAGCAGTATTTAAAAGAGCCTGCTCCGGTACTTTATCAACAATCCATTTCATAAATTCAGCCTGACACAGAGAAACCTTTATTTTAAGAATATAATATACAAGACATGCTACACTGCAGCACCTCAGAGCAATCAGAACTCAGAAGTCAACAACCTACACTATTATTAACTCTATCTTCGTATTGGTATAATATATGTTCCTTAATAACTTAATTTCTATATGAATTAAAGTCACCATTATATTACCACTTAAATGAGCTAAAGACCATAATTCAACAGTTCTACATGGTATTCTGAACTCACATCATAGTATAAAGCTGAAGCAGAGTTGAACACAGCTTCATCTAATGAAATTCCAAGCATTTTAGACTGATCAGTGCAGAGAACTGAAGGTTGCTGGGTCTGTTGATAGTTCTTAGAAACTGCTGGAACCTTTTTAATATCTGTGAATAACCCATTGATGTCAAATTCAATGGAAGAATTGCTCAATAGAGGATTTTCCACGAAAGATACATTCAAAGAAGCATTATCATCCACGGGGATTTCCTTCGGAAGAGATTGCAGAAATGAATCAAGCTTTAAGATTCCATCTTTAAGTTTATTGGCAATAGCACTTTCCACTGCAGATCCTATCTGCCCCTCAAAGGCATTAATCATTCTGAAAAGTGAAAACAATAGCAATAAATCACCATGAAACTAAACTTTAATCCAGCTTTGCAAAGAAAAATAGCATAGGCAGTGATGAGGTCATTATTTTTATTAGGAAGAATTTGAAGACAGTAAAACCAACACCATAAGCATTTTTCATTAACAAAGGGAAAAGCAGCATGATAATGATATAACCATACAGAAGAAAGAACAGTTCTTTCAAACGCTACCCACAATACAAAAAGATTACATCACCAGAAAACAAACCATGAGTACAGCTAAGAAAAAGTTAATTAATTGATGATATAAATTTAGCATACCCTTGATAAAGCCAAGAAGCTCCTCCATCCAATTTTATGGTGATTTCTTTCACATAACAACCACTCTCCATGAGGGACAACTTCAAAGTTCCTTCATGATTCTCCAAGCCTAATGTAAGCCCCACCTCCATTCCTTCAACCTTATGCATATTGCAGAGGCATTACTCATCAGATTCCAATGCATATTAAAAATAAGCAAACGAGCATATATTCAGAACAGCAACCCGCTTTTGTGGAAAAAGATGACAATGAATGTACCAAATGTAGAAAATCCAGCTACAAACAAAACAGTCTATAAGAAACCAACAGAAAATGCACTGCAGAAACTATAAAGTTCATACTTGAATTGTACGAACAGACCAGCATATAAGTAAAATTAAATTTGAAGGCAAAAGCATAATGCAATTGAAACCTAACTGCAAATATCATAAGTCAACAAAGTAAAACAAACGAGTTAACAAATGAACATGTAATACAAAACTCGTTTCCAGCATAAGAAATGAAACCCACACACAAAAAACCCAAAGACCAACAGATATTTTACCCAAAATCTAAAGTGCGCAAACCAACCAAGAGCAAAGACAGATAAAAGAAATCTCTTTACCAGTTTGGCCTGACGAGAGCTAAAATGAAATTGTAGCAAACATTAAACAATTTTAAACTGAAATCCACATCATTTGGTCTACTCAAAAGTTTTGTTAAACCTGTTCATCAGCATCTTTCCCAAAATTTATGAACCGTTTTTTCAAAAAATTAATTAATTGAAGAGAGAAAAAAGAAATACCTCAACAGAAGCCCTTCCTCCATCAGAAATCTCGAAGGGAAGAAGCCAAGAACTATAAGAATAATTCCAATTCATGGTCAAGTTACAAGTAGTCCCCGAGGCAACAATCGCAATCCCAGAGTTCCCTGGTTTCACATAAGACGACAAAACGTCGATTTTGTAGATAGTAACATTGGAGATAACCATATTAACATTGCCCAGAAATGGGATTCTGGCAGATTTTTCAATGACGGCAGGCAGTTGCAAAGGGATGATGGAAGAGATGGCTTTGTTGACGAGCAAGTCCTTGACGAAATCAAGGCCGTTTTGAGATACGAGGATCGAGGTAAAGGATTCATCTTGGGTTATTGATGATTGAAGCTGAAAATTATTAGCGTGTGAAAATAGGAAGGTTGAGGATATTATTAACAAGAAAAGCAAAGCTACGGATGCCATGGCGGGGGAGGGGAACCGGGGTACGGGTACGGCCGACGTTTACCGTCGATATATATGGTGTTTTATTGACATGATTGGAAATGCGAACTGAGTCGTGCAAGGTTGGATTTTATTTGCGTGAAACACATAAATGGTATACTTTCTTGACATTATTTTGTTGACTCATCTTATCATTAAAAGGTATAAAAAAATATTATCTAATTAATATATTCAGATGTTTCAAATCTATCTTATTTATTAAAAAAATTAATTATCATCATACATTAATTTATTGATTAAAAAATAATAAAGTTATATTTTAATGATATTTATAAACATTGTCTTTATTTCCAAGCACGAACTTGATTATATAATGTTTTAAGTATTAACTCAACCACATAATAATTTAAGTACTAGTTCGATGATATAATAATGTTTACGAGACGAATTTGGAACAATGAATAATCAAATGATTATTTTATAACTTTTATTGGTAAAAAAACTTAACAAAATAATGTTATAGTTAAGGAGTCATTTGTATACTTTACTTTTTAATATATATATATATATATATATATATATAGTTTATTTGTTGAATAAATTATATCAACTGTCACCAATATTTGAGTAAGTTTTCGTTTTCTCCACTGAAGTTTCAAAAGTAACAAATTGATCATTAAAGATCGATTTGTATCAAAATAATCACTAACATTATCAATTTGTAACAAAATGATCATTCCACCTTTATCTCATTAAATTGATGGCGTGGCAACGTCAACAAAAAGTTTAATATTTAGTTTTATCTCTAAACTACAGCTAAACCATCAAATAAGTCCTTACACAACGATTTCATATCTAATTTATCCAAAAACATTCTATTTTTCAGATTTTTTTCTCAAACACCTCACTACCTCCACCATATTCAAACCATAAAAACTATGCTCAAACAAACCCTCTTTTTATGGTAGGTTTCAAATCGCTCTCTAGCTTTAGTCGAATTGTTGTTTAAATAGTTGATTGGACTTTGGGTTTTCATTATTAAACTGATAGTTTAATTTAGGTTTTGTTCAGCATCATGAATCTGGTTGAAGGCATTGGTGTTACCGAGATCCACAGTTTTTCATGCTATTTTGTTGATTTGCATAACTTTCTTCTTGTGTCGTGCAGGTTGGTGATGGTACTACAACTGTTGCACCGCTAACCGTAGAAGTTTTGAAAGGGGCCAACCCTTTTGTTGAGGATATATGGAGTCCACCCTCAAGATCTTATTCGCAGTCATCCAACTGCTTGCTGTTTGGTTATGGAATTTTCTATTTCATGAAAGAATTTGATTTTTGGTGGGTTAAATTGAGTAAATTGAAAAGTATATGGAATGATTTAGAACATTTTGATTAGGACTTATTAGTAAGAATGGAAGAATGAGAGGTAATTTGGTCTTTTTAATGGAATAAATTTAATATTCATTTAAATAGGGTTATTAAATAAAAGGGGAATAGGAGAAATAAGGGAAATGTCTGAAGTGTTATATTCTCCTTCTTCATCCTCACATCCCGAGCCCCCCGTAGAAAAGGTAAGACTTTAATTAGTTGGTTTTTCCTTTCGTTTTTTTGGTTGGTTTTGAAACCTTAAGTATTATAGAGGCTTAAGAAAAGTTCAATGAGGATTAAAACTAAAAGATGAAGGTTTTATTTGAGATTTAAGATAATGGGTTTTTAAAGGATTTGATGAAATTTTGTATGATACTAAAGTTTAAAGGTATATTTGACTTGTCAAATAGGTAAATAAGAGATTGAGAGCTTTAGAAGTGGTTAAAAACATGTTTGAAATTTGGTTGTGATTTTAGTTTTAAAGGGTTATTTGGAGTTCTTGGATGTTATAGGAAGATTTATGGACGTAAGATAGTTGGTTCAATTAATTATGAGTTTATTGGTATATTTGGGGATAAACATAGGAGATTTAGGCAGAAAATTGGTAAAAATCGAGGTGAACTATATAAAATCTAGTTTAGGGTATCGGTACTGGAAGAACAGTTCCGATACTATAGGTTTAAATTTGAGGATTATGATGAACATGATAAACAGTATCGATACCTATGCAAGTAGTATCGATACTAAAGTAGGGTATCGATACCAAGAGGAAGGTATCGATACCATTACTGAAAAATGGATTCCATAATGCAAAAATGGTATCGATACTGAAGGGAGTATTGGTACCATAATATAGAAGTATCGATACCATAGAAGGGGTACCGATACTAATAAACCTGAAATTGTAGGTTAAGATGAGCTTAAATAGAATTCGAGAATAATAGTACTTTTGAGTATTTTTAATTTGTATAAATGTAAGAAATTATATTTACAATTGTATTGTATGTGTGATTATGGATGCTTGTGTAAATCGTAATCAAGCTCCTGAGTCAAGCAAACAGAAAGGCAAGGATAAAGTCCTCGATTAGTTGAATTTACATTCTGGGCATGATAGCCAGCCAAACCAGGTGAGTGCATTCATTACGTACTTATATGTTATGACAGTCATAGATGAATTTTGTTTAATGTACGTATTGCATTTACTGAATCGACACTAAGTGTGCAGCCCACGAAATTCATAATAAGTTTATGAATGACCATATCGGCACTAACTGTGCAACCCACAAAATTCATAATAAGTTTATGAAAAACCATATCGGCACTAAGTTGAAACCCACAGAATTCATAATAAGATTATGAATGACCATATCGGCAGTAAGTGTGCAACCCACAAAATTCATAATAAGTTAATGAATGATCGTATCGATACTAATTGTGCAACCCACGAAATTCATAATAAGTTTATGAATGACCGTATTGGCACTAAGTGTGCAACCCACTGAATTCATAATAAGTTTACGAACGACCGTATCAGCACTAAGTGTGCAACCCACGGAATTCATAATAAGTTTACGAACGACCGTATTGGCACTAAGTGTTCAACCCACAGAATTTATAATAAGTTTATGAACGACCGTATTGGCACTAAGTGTGCAACCCACGAAATTCATAATAAGTTTATGAACGACCGTATCGACACTAAGTGTGCAACCCACTGAATTCATACTGAGCTTATGAATGACTGTATCGGCACTATGTGTGTACCCCAAATAACTTATAATGATTTGAAAACAATAAATTCGTATTTTGATAGTTATGATATATTGATGTATTGATTTCACCTCATTAGTGTTATTGTCTCACTAAGTAAATAATTAACGTATGCTTATTTCACACGTAGGTTTTAGCGAGCAAAGTAAGGAGTGCATCTGACTTTATCATTTAAGGATTGCCTCATCAGTAATTGTACGAAAACTACGTCTACTTTTGATGTTGTTAGCTGGCATGTAATAGATTTATTATAATGCTCTGAAAAGGTATTTTGACTTATGATGATGTAAAAAATTAAATATGTTCGAGCCTTTTAGATATGTTTACATATTATAAGTAAATGAATGTTTTAAATATTAAATTAAAATGTTTTATGAATGGAAACAAAAAAATTTTACGGGTTCTTCAAAAGCTGAAAGTTTTAAAAGTGATGTGACATGTATGAATCGTGTACAAAAATGTTTACGTGAATTGGGTGTTATATTTATTGGTATCAGAGCTACATATTTAGCTGATTCTCAGTCAAAACTGTGTGTATTTTACTGTAAAAAGGGTTTACATGCCATTAGAGTGTTGATAATCATTTTTACCGATAACCATATCCCAAACGTAAACCTATGAAGACCTGGGTATTCGAGTCAAATATGCTTCGAGTGTCCTTACACACTATAGAGTTGCACGAAGTGTCTTTACACAGTAGAGTGTTAATACACATAAGGTCTTGCCCACCATATGCACTTAGTGCCCTTACACACTGTACTGTTGCACTAAATGTCCTTACACACTAGTGCTAATAAAAACTTGATGATGTTGTACTTTATGGCATGCCAACTATACCTTGTCCTTCAACGACTTACTTGGGCATATAGATAATTTATTTCATCCATGGCATAATATATCCATATAATTAACATTGGGATAGTTCATACCCGAAATAACATTCATGGCATAATATCATATTTATCAATGATCAATGCATTATGATTTCACACTTTGACATATTAAGGTCATGTTAATATTATGATAAATGACATAATATAATGTTGGTATAAACAAGATAGACTCATAGCAAGTCTTTCTGATGATGTATAAAACATCTATGTACAATGTCATGCATGCATTGCACTCACCTTAACACTTTATATATTTTAAAAGATATGCCTCACTAAGTTCCAAACTTAATCACTATCAAAATCACCTTTTATACTCGATTTACTTCGATCACAAAGTCAATCACGATCTGTACAAAATCACAAATTTCTATCGATAAATATGTTAGTATTGTACTAACATAAATACATTTTCAAAACAAAATCCATAATTATACTTTAAACTTATTCACTATCAAAATATTTCAACACTTATTAATTCTTTTAATATTGGCACAAACTTTTCCAAGTTATATAAAATGGTCCTTCACCATTTTACCACTTAATTTTCCATACCAAAATTCCAAAATTGAAATAATTACTAACCAAGTACATTTACAAAGGCATAATTACATTTAAATACCCCAAACTATTCGAATATTGCATAAAAATCACTAAACTTCCTAAACTACCATAATGATCCAATTTCGCATTCTAACCCTTATTTCGATTCCCAAATAGCAATTTCCAGCATAGTACATCAACTATTAAATAATTACATAATAACCTATCATTTTCTAAAATTATTGATTTGGTCCCCCAACTTTTCTAAATTTACCAAATGGTCCTCAAATTTTTATAAGGCTTCTAGAATACTTCTTACATCATTTCCAGACCTTGCATAATTTTTCCAAAATTTTTATCATCCATTTAAGCCAAGGTTGAATACTTCAAAAGTTCAAATCTAGGGTTTTTCATATATTTTTTTTTCTCGATTTTGATTCGATTCAAGCATGAAATCAACCTCAATCCAACCTTATAAAATCTCTAAAATCAAAGACCTACTGAATTTCATCAAAACATAAAGTTTCCTTT